GTAGCATGAAATATCGGAACTTGGCAAATTGATAAGATGATGAAAATCTGATAATAAATATGATGTTTATTATCTATTTAAATAGTAGTACTAAAAGACATGATTCAAGTTGGTGAAGTACATGTTGAGTTATGGTCCATGTACTTTTTCAAAATTCACATGTACCTATCCCTATCATAACTTGACCAAAATTGATAAGATAAAGTTCTCCTACCTACTATTGACTATTCCGAACAATGCTACATTGACAGTTTTCCAACTTATCCAGTAGATCCAACGGTGATGAATTTAGTGAAAATTTTGACATTTCACCAAAATTACATTACTAAAAATTAATTTCCACAAATACTATTATTATATTGATGGAAAACAATAATGATGATGGTTGGTAAATGATCCGATGATGGAACACCAAATTGTGATTTTCCATCAAGAAAAATAAATTCCAATTTCATGATGATAATCCACCAATAAAAATTACTAATATTACTACTATTTAGATAATGTTGAGATGATGTTGTGAAAGTTTGGTGGTTTCATGATGTAAAACCGCTCCGAGAATGGTCATGTCCATAGAGGACCATTTGTTGAATATTTTTTGATTCTTTTGTTTAAAAAATATCACTTCACTCCTAGTATCTTCATTTCAATATGGAAAACATTGATATTCAATGTACATCATCTTTGGATATCCGTCAATATTAAAATAATTAATTTTATTGTTTAAAATCATCAAGAAATTTAAATATAATGCCATCATCTTTAGATGAATCTTGGAAAACTTTCAAATCAATAAGACTCTCGGATGTTGTTCGAACAGATTGAGTTGTTGTTCTAATAGTATTCCTCAAGTTTACTCTTTGAAATTATTTTTATTTGGTTCAAAGTCGATTTTTTAAGAATAAAGTAATATTTATTAACGTCTTTTGTATCGTAAAGACCTGAGAGACGAGGTCTACAACCAGTAAGTTTCGGTTCAGCGTTTAAGTGTTATGGGTTGATGCTAAGTGGTTGGTTAGACTGAGCTTGCCTGTGGTAGGCAGAGAGGTTTTTCCTGTTAATAGTGAAGCTTGCATTGGGACGGTTGTACCACACTGAGTTCTTGTAGCAATTTTCCAAATAAATAGCTAGTGCTTTGTAGACTTCTAGGGCCACATTCTTAGGTATTCTTTTGCGCTTAGACCAGTTAAGCCAGTCATTACGGGAGCAACGACCATCAAATTCTATCATAAGTTGAGAGGATTCTGAGATATCAGGAGGGAAACGAATCTTGTTAAGGCTAAATTTCTGGGAGATAGAGTCCCATGTGGCATACTAAATAACCCAAATAAATCAACTCTGAATCCTAACCATTGCTGTGTTGCACCTCTTTTCTTCTTCTTTCCAGTTCAACTCAAAGTAACAAAAGAACCTTGGAGGTTTACCGTGATTTCTGATTCCATTTTACCAACTGTACCATGTTATCATGATAAACTAAACTCTATAAATACGAGTCCAATAACATGACACAACCCAAAACCAACTTCAAAAAAACAAGTCAACCAACAAATGCCTCCACCACCTCCACCAAGCAATAATAGCATTATTAGTACTTCTCAAGGATTTACTCCACCACCACCTCCTGGAATAAACAGTTCTTTCAAAGTAGGAGGAGGCACTCCACCACCTCCTGGATCATTCTCTCCAATGATTCAAGATCCAGTTTCCATTCCAGTGATTGGAGGAAAGGTCAATAAGGTTCAAGCAAAAAAGTCAACGAAACAGTACATTAATGTGAGAGAAATTATTGGACCAAAAGATGTTTTCCAAGCATTGAGAATTGCTCCATCAGTTTTTAAGGAATTATTTGGAGTTTCTTATCCAAATAATTCAGAATATTTGGAAGGTCAACAAATTGCTCAAGTTGTCTTTGAAGATTTCGAATTAAATTTGATTTGGGCGAGGGATATGAGTCAAACTGATGATTCGTATGCAGTTCCATATGCCATGACTGATAGTACTCATGCCTTGTGGGAATTGTTGGGAAATAATGGTTTCGAATTGAGAGATTCGAGAAATTATCTCACCTATCAAACTAATAGAGTGAGCAGATTTAATGGAAGAATGTTATGCGAAAGAGTATTCAACTCAAAACAAAATCAATATAAATTATTATAATAAATTAATTTTTTGTTGTACAATTTACAATAAAATTACAATAAATTAATGAGTGAACTTTTCAATATTCTCTCGTAACCAAACATCTATTTCGTTAATGGTTATTCCACCAGATTTGTCAGTATCAATTACATCGAAGAAGTATGTTACATGATCTCCACTTGGTATTCCCAATTCAAATTGTTTGAATAAATCTGTTAAGAATTGATCAAATTCATCTCTATCTATTTTACCATCCACATTAGTATCGTACTTTCTGAAAATTGATTGTAAAACTTCAACTTGTTTGGTGGTATTCTTTTCAGCAAGATATGAATCGAGAA